AATAGGATTAAGCATCGCATCGCACCACATAGAGCAGGTACTGTCTAATTGCTGTAAAACTAACGCCGACAATGTAAAGGACAAAGGCCGGCGCCGGCCGCCCTCGCCGAAAGTGATTTATTGATTGGTGGCCAGTTCTTTATGCCGGCTTACTCGGATTATGTTTTATTTGTTTGTTTGCAGCGGCTTCCGTTTGCCTAAGATGAATAGATTTGATGTGGATCTTAGTCTATTTTTTATTAAGCAGGTTTTCAAAGGAATACAGGTCGGTTCTATGAAGATTTTATTTTGATTCTCAGCTCGGATGAACCAAATGATTCTTTTCTCTTAAATAGTAGTTTTTTTTATTTAAGAAAGGGCACCCGTAAGTTTAACATTAGAAGTAGATCATCAAAGAAGGATGTTGATGCCGTCATTTGTGTGCAAGAATACAGTGCTCACTTCAATATTTTTTTAAATATTAGATAGGTAAATTAATTTACTGCAATCCATCAGTAAATCAAATTAATTTTGTTTATTTAATCAAAATATTTTAATAAATTTGGCACCTAACAACACGGGAGTCGACAGTCAACACGTTCGAAATTAACCTTCAGAAGTTGGGCGTTCGGTGACCGATAAAGGGGCACGGGCCGCTTGTCCGCATTGATTTATGCCCCGGGGATGATGCGGCGGCGGCGCGAAGGCGAAAGTGTTGCCATCTACCGGCGTAAATCATAACCGACGATGTATTGACAGCCAATGAATACCGTCATTATACGAGGATATATTGGAATTTAGTACTCGCTACCGGGTTAACTTCTTGTATTGGCAGGTGTAATATTAAATGGATATCAACTTATTACGGCATTTTGAATAAGTAGAGGGTTCTTATGGGTGGTTGTAATGTCTTAGGTTGTATTCATTGATGTTTTGGCAAAGTATTACATTTAATTATTTATATTTTTAATTACAAAACTGAATTATAAAACATACAATTGCTAAAGTAAATTGTAACACAGATAATAAAATAAAATACATTAGTTCCCTATTTGTTAATCGTTGAATGTAGAATTTTATACATATCAAAATTGTTTTTAGTATGATACATTTTGGGAAATTGCTGACCCTGCTTAACAACACATAATTTGTGAGAGACATCCCATGATTGGAGACAAGTAGAGAATCCGCCCCGGGTCTCTCTCAACCTCAAATTTACGGTCATTTTTCACATAAATCAAAGAGAACACGCCGAAAGATTTATGGCTATCTTTGGTCATGTTAGTGGGCATAGACAAAGATCAAACTACCTGAGTTATTACGCTTTGCGATTTTTTTTTGTCTATGCTACGCTTTATTCAATTTCGAATAGTTTAAACGAAAATGAAAGTGTAAACATTACCTTATTGGTTTTATTCTTGCGTCCTTCAATATGTGCCAAATACAACTTGCACTTTCATAGCGACCAAAAGACTTCCTAAAAATGTATTTTTTATAGCGCTAATGTTATTGTTAATTTCGTTTTAACTCTTTTTAAAACAATAACATGATATTGATAAATAACTAGTGATTTTAAATGGTTTTACGTATTATCATCCTTGTCAAAATTAATCTAAACTATTCGTGTTAAGTTAAGTCTGACATTGTAAGTAATTGTGGGAATTTATGTAACGTCGACACTTCTATTTTTATGTTCGTTTAAATTGATCGGCGATATTTAATAAGGATCGCTCATAAACAAAGGCATGGAATGACAAAATTCCCAAGCCATCATCATTATGTGTAATAGCTTCGTATTATAGTAAATATTTCAGTTGTTTAGTTACAGACCGCGTTGTAGATGGCTCACGCGATTTCCTCTCCTATAATTTTACAAGGTAAATACTTTATTTTGGGTAGGGTTAATTCTCTAAAATAACGGAAGGGTAGAAATTTAAATGATTACATAAACATCTTTTTATCGTATAAGAAAAGTTGGTTTTATATTTTACATGATAGTAACCGAGATAAGCAATCCTAATAAGTGGACGTAATAATCTTTTTTTTTAATTTGCATGTCTTATAGCTAAAGGGGTTTATTCATCGTTGTTTGCCAAAATACATCGAAGAAAAAGTTAATACACTTCCATCGTTTCGCAACGGTCTTCGTATTTTTAATAGCAATAACGAACTTTATAAAAGGAGAGTGGATATCATACGTCAGTCAGACGCGCCCGAACAAATTGAGACAGTGTAAAAATAATACTGCATTGTATTAAAGATGAATCGAAATGATCGATCGAGGTAGGGCGTTCATTTTAATTTCGATTTCTCGAGATAGGGCCCGGAGGCGTGGTCCGGTGAACAATTTATTTCACGTCTCTAGATACCTTTACGTGGCAGTGCACGCGAATAGTTTTTGTGTGAAAATTCGACTTGTGTTGGTGACAGTCTTTTGGTCTTAACGGTAAATTCAAACACAAAGTTAAAGTTCACCTGTTTGTCTATCCGCAGTTGGTTTTTGTTTTTGATGTTTAACACCCAATGTTAAAACAATGTTCCATAGATACGATGTGGGCAGCAGATTGTCTAATGTTATGTGACTACAGATGACCTTGAACGTCTGCGTCGCAAGAGAAACTGCATGCTTTGCATGGTAAGATTTGATCTTGTGATTGTTTTTTTTATTATTTTATAAAGAATTAATGAACAAAATAATTTTTAAATTATTGGCAATATCGAAGTCAAAAACAGAAGACGGTCGGTAGATGTGATGTCAATCAGATTTATTGACACACTAGACTTGTCAGAAAATAAGAGATCTTTGGACAGCTCTTGTTAAAACGTGATGGACGTTCGCCAAGATCGTTATAGGTTTATAAGAATTCGATTTCAATTTTGTTACAAAAAGTATACGCAGTGAGAAAAATGTTACATTGTTTTTACTGTCAATGTGACACAGCAAATCGACACAATAACTAACGAAAGTACACAGAAAACATCTACCGCGTTTGTAGCACTCAGTGAGAGCGTAAGAAGAGAGCGTAAGAAGATACGTTGTCACTTTGGGGAATCAGTCAAAACTTTGTAAATCCAATATCTAAGTTGGGAGCGGGTATAAAAGCGTTGTGACGGTGTGTTGTAGCGGCTGCATAGAGGCGAGCTCGATAGCGCTGACAGTGACAGATTACCCCCCGTACCATGTTACTCCGGTACTCTGGTACGGTTCACGGCCGTCCGCGAGCCGGTTATTGAGTTCGCGAAATACAGACAGGAATGCGATTGAGATTTTTATGTGATGAGAACGTTTTGTGATCCTTGGATATTTCGGTTTGAATGTCCTAAATTTAGGACATTTGTATGAATTAGAAATATCAACAGAATACGAAAGAATGTTAGAAGAAAAGTATAAAATTCGCATCGATAAAGATAGTTAAGTACTTAAACGACTGTTTTGAATCAAAATAATTTGTAAAGAATACTTTTACCGTAAATCTTGAAAACTTTCAAGCACATTGTAATGAGTGAAGTTAGTGTCAATTTGTAAGAGATAAACCCACAGTGGTCGGTAGGTGGCGTTAACATCGCTTGGCCGCAGCGGGCCCGGCCGGACCCCCGCCGTGCGCTCCGGGGGGCCGCTGCCGTACGCCGCATCGTAATTGTTATACAACCAAATATTTTATATCACACGCTTTTAAATTATATGCAAACTTTTCGGTTATAGAGTGTTAAGTGACGGTGTTGATTAGTTTAATCAGATTATGTGTTTTATAGGGATTTTATGAAGAAGAGATTACAGAGAAAATTAAAATATCTTGTAGACATGAATTAAATTTGATTATTACATTTTTAGTTTCGAGTATTTCGTATTATAGGACCTAGTTGTTAAATAAAACTATCAACATATGACTACAACAAAATTTGAGCTTACGTTAAAAAAGCTTGCAACAAACAAATACATTGCTTTGTTACTGTTTATTATGCTCCGTTTATAAAAATGTTTTCTGTAAAAGGTACAAGAGATTGACAATAATTATATCACGGGAGATGAATGTGTATCATGATGTATGGCCAGGTGAGCCTCGGCCGACGGATGATGACGGATCACGCGCCCGCTTTGTTCTACAAGTCTCACCGACGACAAATTTGGGGTCACTTCGTCTTTTACTCGACATTATGACGTTTGATTGTGCGAAAAAATTGTGTATCGTGCGTTTTATTAATACAATATACGTTGCAAAAAAATAACCCTAAAAGTATAATTATGTTATTTACAATAAAAGTTGTACAAAAGATCATCACTGTACTTTTTTACACTTACGTCCTTTAAAATTTATTATTTTTATTGGGTAACTCCAAAGCTAATTTTTTTTAAGATATATGATTACTCATTCATTATTACATTACCATACATGTTACGGAAAAGCTTGTGGATCAAAGTAAGAAACATACAAGACTCATGTTATAAAATATTCTCACTTATAATTTGTGGTTATAGTGCATGACAAATATCCGTTCCGTTACACGGCCTGTTGGCGGCAGGTCGGTGCCTCGAGTAATACCACCAGAGTCGGCTACCACTCCCCCCTTCCCTCCTCCAAACCCACTCCCACTGCCAACAGTTACAGACACGAGACGTCGTCGCGCCGCACAATTCAATATATTTCGGAGTAATTTGATGTTCATTAAAGAAACTCTGGGACCGTGAACCAGAACACAATGGTTGAATGGCCATTTGTTGTTGCCGTTGAAAGGCACAATAATAATTCCTTGGCCGCTATTCACGCGGCAGTTAGGCGCACTTACGAAACGTGGTCGTTTCGTGAGCCACCGCGTTCTGTTGCACGTCACCGTTAAGTGAGCTAACTGCTTATGCTTACATACCTATTGGATGAAAATATTTCATCACAATATTCTAAAATAAGTATCTGTAGGAAGTAAAAAGATTTTCCAGATTACCATAAAAAAAGACAATGTATTGTTCCGTGAAGACATGTTCTACGTGTCTAGCATATTGTTCATATAATATGGTTTGCACTGACCTTGTTGACTGCTTTTTCTCGTCGTTTTCTTCTCCTTCATCCAGGGATACTCGGGGACATTTAGTCCACCACCAGGCGAGGGTAGGTCGGGACCGTAGCCGGGTGGCGTATGCTGCGGACTCAGCTCTCCCGCGCCGAGTTGCGGAAGCGCCGTCATGAACTCAGCCATCGAGGGCTGACTATTGATGAAGCCGGTCTCTGTACATGTGTCAAGCATGGGATGTGGCGCGCCGGTGGCGGTTACCGCGGCCAGCCAGAACCCATTCCCGCCGTGCTCCATGCGCGCGTCTACTCCTGCCGCCGGCCCCATCGGCGGAGTGTTCCGCGTCTTCACCGCGAACTCGTCCTCCATATCATCGCGCACGCCCATCCCGACTCTCGCCTGTTTCCTGACAGGGAACTCTTCGCATTTTATCTTGCGCACTAGGGGGTTGCTATCGAGCGGCAGCGCGGCGGTGTTGCATATCTCTTGCATTTCTGCCACGGTCGCCCACCACCCACGGCCCGATCATTCACGTGCGGTCTGCGATTTCCGTTTCGCAGCATGAGCTAACATTTTGTCCGGATTTGTCAAACCTTGTGTAGCTTGTAACTTTAACTTTTTATAGTATGTTTGTAGGCCAAAGAACCATGATATCTGGAAAAAAATAAGTCTTTTAAATTAAAATAGCACATACTTTTCTACACAATGCAGTATTACGAAAAACATACTATTTGTACATATATTGCATTAAATTTATTACTACATAAAATAATAAGTATCCATATGCAATCTAAGGAATAAAATAAAAAGTATTCACAGATAAATTTGAGCCATATTAATTTGTGCACGAATTCGTGTCGAACATAACCTCAAATCAAGAGGGACGCCAAATGAAATGTAACAGGAGGCCGTCTCGTGGTTATTTCGCAATTATCTGCGGACGTTCGACATTACCGCGGTTTTGTGTCGAATAATTTCGTGGCCGGAGCGGTGATGAGCGCACGGAATTGTTTATTATAATTTAGCAGCCATCATGGACTCTGTCCCACGTAATATGCGCTCGACAATAAAGTTATTAAAATCGTCATGAACTCGCCTGAATGTCACAGAGATGGACGATGTAAATGATTGCGTGAAAATTAAAAAAAATGTTAAGCGGGAAAAATAGAAAGATAATTCTGTGTGAAAATTACAACAAAAGGCAAAATTGCTGCATTAGATTGTTTTAACCATGAGACAAGATCTTGGTTGAAGACTAAAATTTGATTATTTATAAGGAGAGTACTTGTATTTCTATTGTCGATTGAATATGAAGACCGACAAAGTAGATACATTGCTAAATGTGTTTTCCAATTAATATTGCCACTTTAATTGTTATCTTTGAAATGTTGAAAGATTTTCGTCTACAACTTGTTGGACACGCATTTACAAGCCGCACCAGGCTCCTTCTATAGTCAAACATTCACGTATATGCCGACAGTCGGCTTCCCACTCAACTTGAATGTCAATTAAAATTCAAACCGCGTGCGAAATACGATTTTTTCCAGTGGTATTTGCGGCGCGCCCCGAGGTATGGCGGGATCGCGCCTTTTTGTTTTATACTTTTTTATTCTTATTTTCAAAACGGACCGGCTGCCGGTTAAACCTATTTTAATGCGTGCCGACCGACGTGTGTGCTCTGAATTAAAATTTACTGTACACGTCACTCGCGCGACAACGGACAATGAAATGTAATTTCCTTTTGATAAATTAATGTTGTCACCAAGCATATATTTTTTCATGTATTGACACGAGACTCTATTTGTAGTATATCGGTAATAAATATGTAACATATTGATGAGTTTATGTCGATACTAATAGTTAGAGAAGAGTTTCTACACCGTTTTACCAATCTTCTAATTCTCCTTCTCTAACTCAATCGTGTTATTGGCAAGCATTTCCTAATTAAAACATTCTTGAATCAGTACGTAATAAATAAATAATATCTTTGCCAAATTCAAGGGTTTACGCATTAGAACATTGATACGTATACATTTTATGTATAACTTTGAATTTAGAGAAATAGATCAAGTAAAGAAGTTAAAAAAATATATAGAAGTTAAATAAAATGAATTGTAGCGATACTTCTTAGTGATCGGAAATCGGAACATATCCATAGTTTTGCAGCTCTTTGGAAATATCATATTAGTTGCCGTATCTAATTGATGTCACTACACAAACAATGAAACGAACTAGAATGGTCTGATTAAATTCGATACAAGGAAATGGACTCTTAAATTGATTCGTGCACAAATTACGATACATTACAGTAAAATAAAGCTTACAGTTTTAATTTATAAGACAGATTTTTCAATATTACCATTTAAGGATCTCATATCGTACATAAGGCGCCAGATAATTTGAATTCGTGAATGCACGATTCCTACCCTTGTTCTCGGGTGTCGCAGGTTTTACGCTACGCTCCACATTTCCCGTTTATCCCACGGGGGAGTGCCGTTTTAAAAACGCATAAAGCCGGCAGCAAGGACTACTTATGAATTTGTTTATGGGGCTATTTTGAAGTAACGACGTTACAGTGAAAGCTCTCTGAGCTTGAGAATCACGATATTCCTAATTTAATGTTCCTAAATTTTATTGGAATAGCGATTTTTATGTTATTATTTTTTAATTCTCTATATATTTAATAACTCTATTGATTCTGTTTTTCAATGTATGTGATTGTTTAGTTTTTTGCATTCTTAAAACAAAATAATTGGTGTTAAAACAATAATGAACACACTATCAGGTTACCTTGGTATTAGCTAGCTGTGTGAGCATGGCTACAACTAGATTTTTTTCACCTTAAAACGTAAAAGACGATTAGATATGTGCTCTAGATGTTATCGAGCAATCACAAGTAATTTCGTACATAGTATTCAAAAAAAAATTAAACAATTTATAAATTAGATTACAAATAATTAAATTGAAAAAATTTCGTCATGTCTAAGTTATATTTAAACCATAATGTTGTATATAACACAGCATTGAAGTAAATAAAATAACATCTGCGTGCCGGGAGTGGGCCGCGGCTGAAACTAGTGGTTAGGGTCCAATTTGCCGGCCATAACGATTTCCTCTTCGGGGAATAGAATGGCGTGCGGATGCCGCCCACAGTACTGCGTGCTCACGGACGGACCGACATGCTATATGTATTGTATAACATGTGTACAGGCTTTATATTGTATAATGGAAGTGTTCGTGACAAGAACATTGTGCATGTGTATGTCCGAGCAATGAACTCCGGGAATAACTCGCACTAAACTGTTTGAATTGAAGGACAATTATTTCGGAAATTTTGTAAACTGTCGCAATAATAAATAACAATAACTTATTTTAACCATGGCGACGACGCTGGCGCTCTCTCGTGTCGGAGGCCAAGACCTTTTTGGGTCGCTGCGCCAACGCAGTAAGTAAGTAGTTTAACCATATTTTGACAGGTTGGACTTTTGATGCTGGTTTCTATTAATGTTTTTTGTTATACGGGGAGTGGGTACACCGAGGTGATCACCGACCTTTGTTAGACCAGCGGAATTACAGATGCGTGAATATTTTATCATATTTTGTGTCTTCAAAGCATTATTTATTTTATGACGTCATTTTATATCTGTTAAGAGAACAATAATCGTGAAGTATTGTTGATACGATCAGCGCCAGAGGACGGTCAGCTTGTTACTTGTTATTAAAACGCCCGCACGCAACTATCGAGATAGTTTATGATGATTATGGACCAGGAATAATGTCTTGTATTTGTAATAAACTCATAAGGTATTGTAAAAATGAAACTTTTTTAGATACACGTAATGTATATTAGTAGGAGCCAACCTAAGTTATGATAGATTTTTTTTTAAATTGTTTTATGGTATTGAAACAGTAAGTCCTAGGCAAAGTTAACTAGAACAAAACTTCAGCAAAATAAGAACCTTATTTAAAAGATACGTAATAAAGTGTATCTATGACATTTCATGTTATTTAGATACCTGGCCATTTAGAAAATCTATTAATTTTTAACAAATTCAAAGTGAATCGAATACTGAAGCGGTATTAAAATACGTAAAAGTCTTAAATGATACGGCCAACTTTAAAATTCTATTCCACCAAAATTTTGACAACTGCCACATTAATAAACGGCGCTGACTAAGCGAAGTATGTATAATTCGTGTCTGAATTCTGGCGTAAGTCTTATGAAAGTGAAGTCTTAGTAAAGTTAACTCTAATGAAAAGTGACACAACTATCTATAACTTATTGCTTTTTGTATATCATTCGTTAGAGAAAGCCGACTTTAAGTGTTGTGTCAACAGTCACATTCCATCGCCGATAGTTGTCAGTAAATCAGGTTTGCCACCTCCATATCGTGTGCCTAATAAGCTCAGGTGACAAGACATGGGACAAAAAAGGATTGGAGAGAAAATCTTCGAAGGCGCCAACACCATTAGAAATTGCATCGTACCTACGGAGAACTCGTATTTATGTGTCACAATTAACTTTCTACATCGAGCTGAGTGACGTAGCTACTATGCTAGATTGAGAACTGACTTCTAATGGAAGCAGCTGAAAAAAGGTTTTATTGCTTTTTCCAATTACACGTTATAAAAATAGAAATGCGAGATATAGCTTGAATAAAGTCTACACTTTTTATCAAATAGAATATAAGATATACATGAATGCAAGTATTGTTAAAATTATGTGGATATTTAATGAACATTATAAAAAAATAAGATCTTAAAATGAATTTCTTTTCTACGTATTAGTTTAAATTACTTATATTTAAATCGGTTTATCGTACGAAAATTAAAAGTGAATGAATAATAAATTGTTACTTATAAACCTCTTAATATCTTTTGTTAACTTTTGTGTTGAGTGATTTCTGAATAAAAAGCACAATCAGCCAAATTAAGTGTCTTTTAGATTACAATAACTGGTAATATAAATGTAAGAAGACAAATATTAACATGTATAGTGACATAGTGCCGGGACCGTGTGTAGCGGAAGGCATACGTCATAATTCGGCTCGTAAACGTCTGCGGTACAAGCGGCCCGCCGTGATTCTTGATGGATCGCGGAGGGAGCTTTCTATCTTACTGGGTGAGTGGATTGCAATACTGAGATGAATACCGCAATATTTTTACAACAAGTTAGCCTAAGGTAGTATTAAAACAAAGATAATTACATACAGCCAGGTTTTAAACTGGGTACTTCTAGTTTAATTTTGAGACCAATTATTGAGCATTTATTAATATGATTAGAACAAGTTAACATCGCTACTATTCTTTTATAATAGCAATTCAGATTAAAGGAGGCTTCATCATCACCAGCTCACTACACGTCCCCACTAAGGAGCTCGGAGACTATCCTAAGTTAGGGTGACTATTAGTCAACCACGCTGGCCAAGTGCGGGTTGGTGGATTTCACACATATCTTTGTTTTTCTTCACCGATATATGAAGGTTGCATCACGATGTTTCCTTCACCGCAAGAGCGTCGGGTAAATAATGTACATATGAAATTTGAAACTCGAAAATCACATTGGTACATGGGGGATTCTAACTCAAAATTGTAGATTACAAGTCAAGTGCTTAAACCCTCGAGTCACCGAAGTTTTTCATCAAGAGGCTTACATTAGTTAAAAATATTAAAGTTTACATCATGAAACTATAAAACACTTAACATATATACGTTAACTTACATCAAAGTTACATATTTACCAACTCAATGTATGTGAGGTTTAGCAACATTTTCTTGCGCTTCCAGTGAAAACACTTACATGCCGGTTGCGACGTTAATGTCACTATAAATTCAGAGCATGTGCGCCGGGCGGGGGTCGCGGCTTGTATACTTTATTTATTACGTGTTGCCTCCGGATTCTCTATAACTTTCGGAGCTATATTATGTTAAAGTTATAAGAAATTATGTACTATATTTTATTACTATGCCTATTTTGTATATTGCAGAAGTTATTTTGAATTACAAATACAAAAAAATACTATACATGTTAGTAAGTATAACCAGCATACTACATTTATGCTTTTGCACACGTGCTTTCGCCTGCGACTCCGTTCGCGTGGAAAAAAACAAAAGTGAGTAGCCTATGAGTTCTTCTAGACTATCCTCTACATCTGTATCAAATTTTATTGAAATCTGTTCAGCCGTTTAGGCTACAAACTCTAACAAATAGCCTTCCATCCATCCATCCAACTAGTAAGATGTAGATCTTAGTAAGATGGATGAAAATAGAGGTACTACAAGTGTTTGAAAAGAAAGTTGTAATTCATATAGGTTGATGAAGATGAACAGGAGTATCAGAGTAATAAAAAAATATTTACATACACAAGTATCAATCATTTGATTGGTTTTAGAATATTTTTATTTTACTTTATGAGATTCTAAGTAGATTGAAAAAACATTATGGTAGGTTTTCTAAATGAGTAAGGTTCAGCTATTTTTTTAACTACTAGCTGTTGGTCGCGACTTCGTTCCCGTGAGGTTTAAAATGTCTATGTTACTCAGCGATAACGTAGCTTTCTAATGGTGAAAGAATATTTGAAAACGGCCCAGTAGTTTTCAAGTTATTTAAATACATACAAGAATACAAATCTTTCCTCTTTATAATATTAGTTTAACTATAAAACATATACACCAGGCATTTATGAAACATAATATTATTTACTAGCTGTTGCCTTACGGCTTCATCCGCATGAAATTATGAAAATTTTATTTTATTGTTTACATTTGTCGACTTATCAATTACAAATGTCAAAATGACATGACATGATGACAACCTTATGGTCTCTTTCTCACATTAAGGTTTTTATCCAAAATATTTACCCCCTAAGTTCAATGGCGTGAAAATATATAGCCTAAAGCGTGACGCAAGTGTAGGGCTTTTTATTAAAAAAAAGATTATTCAGAAGAATGCTGTGATTGCTGACATCTTAGACAACAAAGAAATGTGTGTTTATGCTTTATTGTATTAGTATAGATAATATCTTATCGGGTTTGTTGTATCAATCGAGTTTTTACTTCATGAGAATTGTAAATAGTTTGAATGATGCTACGAAGTGCTACGAGCTATTTCATTTCTTACATTCTCATCTAGCATATTGCGGGGTTTGTATATGCCAAGTTATATGTAAATTATTCACGTTGTATGTTGTATATAGTGTGACGAGACGACGATGGGCGTGTCCAAAGTAAACCGCCCAGCCGCGGAGGCGGGTCGCTTACAACTACCTAGTTCCTATAAACTTAGGTATTCTTGTACTTTATAAATTAAAAACAAATTTACCAGGAAGGACTTTAATAATTCTTTTTGATACTGGCTGGTGATACTTTGTTATTTTTTTTAATTAACTCAAATCCTTTACGTATAGCATCAACAATATTGCTAGTGCTTTTTACTTTATTTTATTGGCGGATACAAAATCAAATATAATAAAGATAGTTGTTAACTTAAATATGTACTGAAAAATATTTATTTTCTTTATAAAAATGTTGGACACTACATTGATAGTTAAGATAAAGAATTTATATACTGAAATAATTTAATAATTATTTGCTAATATAAAATGTGTTTTTTGGGTGTAAGAATGTCTAATTAAACCGGGTTCAGCATTTGCGCTATGTGTGACCTATTTATACGCGTGTATACTGCAATAAACCCTATTTATCTAGGCTAAGTCTATTTGTATATCATATGTGTACAAAAATAAAATCATAAATGTGTAAATGTTCGCTCAGCATACAAAACAATATAGTGTTTTTATTGTTTTGTTGATTTTCTTGTTATACAACAACATCCAGATTTAATAATTGTTGGGTAGAGGAACATTTTCGCGAGAGTTCGGTAGGAATAAACGTGGTGCCGTTTTTAAGCTGTGTCATAATTCAAATTACCTAATTTTGTTTAAAAAAAAAAACTATATATAAATTATATACATAAAAAGTAAAACAAAAGTACAGTAAAACTTATAAACCGATTAATAAGAATTTTGCTAAATTAAATTCTTTAGAGAATCTACTGTAAAATGTGTTAGTATTGCTGGTTATATTGGCCTTTACAGATATACTTCATATTTTAGTAATAACGAATGTTGTCTTCATTAAATAAATAAATAAAGCTTTGATTGCTGAAGATCTAGAAGTATACTATTAATTTCATTTTACATTTTTTTTCTTACAAATCGGTGACTGTTAAACTCGTAGGTATCTATAGCTTGTCCTTGGTCATAGTCATGGGCCTCCTTTAAAGACTTCCTTTTCCTCCTATTCCAGTCCACACTTTACCCGCAGTCTCTTTCGCAAGTTTCCTGACCAACTTCATTTTAGTTTTTCATTTGCAGAACATTTTTCTCTATAGCGTTTAGTCACGCTTTTATTAGACACGCATATGTTAGACAAGGTATGCACATGTTAAATACTTTTCTTTCATGTCCCCTTTTTATGTCTTTATTTTTCATAACTTCTAAAACCAGTATCTCTTCCAGATGTTGGTCATTCTTTACTAGTACAATCTGCTGTGGCTATTAGATGTCCTAGGTATGTATATTCAATACCATATTCCATATTTTCGTTGTTAACAAACACCTAGCATTTTGTGGAGTTGGTAAGGAGTTCTGTTTTCCTAGTGTTCATTAGGCCAAGCTTGACTCTTTCAAATGTTAGTTTTCGTAGCATCTCTTCTAGCACTTGGGAGTATCCTGAGGCAGGCATCGTCTGTCATAATTACTTAAATCCAATTACGATTACAAATTGTGCATGTTTGAATGATAACATTATAGCATCCCCTTTTTAGAGATTAACAAATTCTTTACATAAGTAATACATTTACTTATAAATAAATCATACACTCCTCAATGTTAAGCACAATAAGTAAATATACAAAGAACTATAAACCTTTATACTTACATGTTACTTCAAACGCGTTGAAATCTTTTATAATCACTTCATAAAAAAAATGTTAACTATTATAAAAGTACACTTTGTTCACGAAAATGTCTAAAACAACTTTATTTCAGTCATTATTAACAAACACAACACTTCACTTGTCACACTTAACAGAAATGTTATATGTAAATTAATAAAAAAACTATCTGTTACCACTTTGATGTCGTCCAATCATGTAACAAAGCACAAACGTACGGACAGCAAAAAATATATATCAATATTTGTTATCAGTGCTTCTATCGGAATGTCAGTATAGCGTGGCGACTGTCAACTGTCGACTAAACGAGTCGTCACTGCTCGCTTGCCGCCATGCCCATTTCCACACAATCACTTATAAATAAACGTCATATTACCAACTTTCTAAAAATTCAAATTGAAACTTATCGTGAGGGAATAAAGTGCAAATTGGTTTAATGTTTGAATTGAAGTTATTGTTAAAAAGCGAAGTGTTCTTTCTAGACAAAAGTTATCTCTCCCTTTCTTTCTTGTGTCATCGCGTAACTTGCCGTCTTCTTCCTTTACGTTTGAATTTAGATTAGAACAATGTTACTTATAGTTTTCGACTGCTTCTTAATTTTTGTATTGTGATATAATTATGAACGGTATTTTGGAGATTTTTTTAAAATATATTTTTTAACGTATGTTGTATGCAGGCGATGTAAACCAGTTTGGGTATAGCACTAGATGCAAGTTGAATAGCGCCGTCCCTTTCGTCCGATGTTTCTTGTTTGTTGCACGTAGTGTGATTGGGCCAATGGCGTTTACGGCTCGACCCACCTTACACAGAATAAAATACAGTAGAATAATATGCTCTATCACCTGTGAATAAAGTTTAACTCTTTGGCATTTAACGCCAACTTACCGGCGTTTGTCATGCAAGAGTTCTAATTTTAAAACCGAGTGTAGGCGGAGCTCTCG